GATTGGTTAATTATCACGGGTGATCACATGTAGATCCATAAAAATTAGCCAATCATATGAATTTCTTCCTATGACATATACAGTCCATGGACATGGACAGACGGTCCATGGACATGGACATTAGACACTCTATTGTCTCTCTATGTCCATGGACAGTCCATGTTCATGTCCATGAACAGTCCATATCCATGTCCATGTCCGGAACTACACTGAGTGGATCCACCAAAATTCAGCAAATCGGCCCAAATTTGGGGTTAGAAATAGGCCGGAGCCAGGTGGTTTTAAGAATAATACCGGCCAACTATATTATAGCAAAATTATCATTTGGCAGCTTTACTTAGTGCATGGGCTGCCCACTTTATTAGTAAAATTTTGGGTGGTTTTAGAAAAAATTTATCAATTCCGGCCTATTCTGACCCAAATTCGCCGGACCCACTAATATATTCTAATAACGCATAACACATGTTTATATTGTACTGGATTTGGAATCTGCCCGATTTGGAATCCGGCTGTCCCAATTTAGAATCAGGAAGACCGGATTTAGAATTCTTATATGGAGTACCCGGCTCACTATACTAATATCGATATTCTAACCCTAATCCTAACCTTCGTATCCGGCTACCCTGATTATGAATTGGGACAGCCCGATTCTGAATCGGGCAGATTCCAATCTAGGTATGACATATATAGCCCGATTATCTCATTATATAACGATTTTTGCAACATTCGTTTGTAGTGTTTATTTTATACCATTTTTTTTTTTTAATGTTAAGGTGACCACTTGGGGGTCTGGCACGTTTTATTAACTTCGGTTGCGAATGTCAGGGCAGTCACAGGACCACCCCTGACTTTGTTACATTAATGAGAGTACATTCTAGCCATATTTGCACCTTTTGAGCGCCTAATTAAGTATCTACCTATTACTAGGTTCTACACTAGATACCGTATCTATAATCCACTATTACTTGAGTTATCCATTTAAACCCTCTGATCAACTTAGCGGCATCAGATATTCTCCCCAAAGAGGAACTGCCGTTAAGGCCCCTTAGAACTACTTTATCCTCGTGATAAACCTACTAGAACGGTCTATGTCCTACACATGTATCACCTAGATTTTCAGTAACTTATGCCTAGACTGAAACCAAGTACTTGCGAGCCAAAGGCACTACCGTTACTTACTACTTGCCCTTATGAAGTTCATTCAAACCCCAGCACCCACTTTACGGACTATCACCGACTTTTCTGGCACATCGACAGCGTCTCCAAACTCCCAATCCAGATGGCCCGGAAGGAACTTGCATTCCCTAGTATTCCGATGAATCCTTTTCCCTATATACATATGGCCTGGTTGGTATGGTGCCTTGCCCAACACCCGGTCCTTGTTCAGTTGCAGTCGGGTCTGATTGCTGATGATCTTCCTTTATGTAGTACCATTGAAGATCTGTGCTACTTCTCTATTCGGGACTAGCCAAGCGGGCTTCCATGTATCCTGGTCCCCTAGATTTATCCGGATCTATCACTTGGGTTTCGTATAACTCTTGTGTTATACTACTATTCCGAATCCTCCTAGTACAAGCTGGTATGACCAAGGTTACAGATGCCAATCCGCTAGTTTATACATAGTCTGCCGTAACACATTCTATAAAATTCGAATTTCATCACCAGTGGGATTCGAACTCTTGTCCTGCTGCTTGGGGTGCGACAACCTACCAACTTCACTAAGTCGCCATACCCTTATTTTATACTATTTAGTGATGACGGGATCTAATACTATATATTAAAAAAATTAGATTGTTGTACAAAATTGGACATTGCATATTCATATTATATTCGTGCGCGTAATGAATGAATTTTTACAGTCAATGTATTCCATGCGTATTAAGTATGGTATGGGTGAGCAGATCAGTATGGTTACAGACCAAAATTAAAAATAATACTATACTGATCAGCTATAATAGGATTACAGAAGGCTAGTATGGTACGACTGACTGGGTCAGTTTGGTATGTACTGGGGGACTACGAAGATCAGTATGATACGACTGACCAGATCAGTATGGTATGAATGTGATTTTACCAAATCATACTATACTGTTTTGCTTAATTGTCACACCCTCTAGAATTTAGGGTTAGATCTGTCTGGAATTATGTTTAATGCCAGCTGGGTTTTCTAGTAGATGTGACAATTAAGCAAAACAGTATAGTACGATTTGGTAAAATCACATCCATACCATATTAACTTGGTCAGTTGTACCATACTGATCTTTGTACCGAGCTATAATTTCTAATTCTAACAGTAATATACATATTGGATCAGTATCGTACAGATGCTGATCTGCTCCTGGTCTGCAAAACACCTTGCCAAAATTCATCTGAATTATGCAAAACCTAATTTTATTTCTGTCAGCAAAGTTGATGTTTTAGTTGCTTTCATATTTTCTATTAACCAGATCGATAAGTTATCGAGTCAGAATCAATAAGTTACTGATTTTGGCTGATGTCATAACCTTATCATTTCAGTTATTTTTTAAGTATCTCAGAATTTATCATTATAGAACTGTTATAATGCAGATCTAACAATTTTGTATAATCATTTTTCAATTTTCACCAATTGAAAAATGACTCAGATCAGTTCTTAATTTGTATTACTAATCTATCAGAAACTTGACCATTGTATCCATTCTACTAGCAAATCTTTCCTTCACTTTTTCTAATTTTTGTTATTAATCTGTAAGTTTTTTTTGCTTGCTTGATATATTATTTCTATCATCTATTCTGCTGAGGTTGTAAATAAAGCTTTTGAATTTGTCTTTGCTTGAATCTGTTTTAAAGTTTTTGCTTCTATAGTAATTTTAATGTTTTGTTTTTTGATTCCTATTCTTCTTTTTTCTTCTTTGGTTTTTTCTTCTTTTTCATACTAATTTGCTGCAATTACTTCAATAGATTCTTTAAATTTTTTAACTAATGCCTTCAATATTATTTTGTTATGCTGCTTTTGTCAAATTTTCCTTTATTCTTGAAGTCTCTTGTTTTAACCTAGTTCTAACTTCAACTTTATTTCGGCAGCTTGCTTTTTTCTTTGTCAAACTTGTATTATTTTCTTTTTTTCTTTGATTTTTTTTTAATCTCATACTGGTTTGCTGCAAAGGTTTCGATGAATTCTTTAAATTATTGTACTATTTTCTTCAGAGTTGTTTTGTTGTACCACTTTTGTCAATTTTTCTTTTGTTTTTGAAGTCTTTTGTTTCAATTTAAATCTACTTTTGACCTTATTAACTTCATTACAACAGCTTTTTTTTTTTTAGATTCTATTATCTATCTTATTTTATTGGCTATCTCTAAGTCAGCTAAATATTGTTTATTTCTTCATATATAATGTATTTAACTAGATTCTCTCCTTTTTGTAGTGCTGCAAAGTAATCATAATTATTTTTTTTCTAAGTGCAAGTTCTGTATAATTAAGTTTACCTGAATTATATTTCTATAATTCTTTATAAAGTTCTGCTATTTGTGTCTTAGCTTCTTTTTTTGTAATAAGTTTTTTTCAACATATTCTGTTAATATCAGATTTATTGGGATATCTTTATTTTCATCAAATGCCTCTACTTATGCTTCAAATTCTTCTAATATAGTGATTATTCTTCCAAAACATTCTGTTAAATTTTGCTTTATATAACTTGTTGTTTTTCTGTTATTGTTTTTTGTTATTGTTGTTTGTTGAAGTTGTTTACTACCTTTGTTTATATTCATCATGTAGTTTTTAGCATATTTTTTTTGTTTATTCTTCATTATACGTTGTAATTCTTGTATCACCAAAACAAATCAGCATTACAGAGTCAAGGCTAATTCACCAAAAATTTGCAAAGTACAAAAAAAAGACTGATGATTTCACATAATTTCTTCTATATTCTTGCTGCTTTTGTTTCTTTAACTTAAGTTTTTTAAGAAATTAGATATTTTCTATCATCCTCTTCCTTTTTTCTTAGAGCTCTGAGTCTGGTTTTTTAGTAGTCTTTGAGTGTTTTTGTAGTTTTTTAGTCATTTTTGTTTATGTAAATTTGTATACAAAAGATTAGTGAAAAGAGTTCTGTTGAAGTTTTTGATGATTTGTAATATTATTGCTTAATGTTATCTTATAGTATTATAGTATGAGAAAAAGATATATAAATGTTAAATGTTACTTTCAAATTTCCATCATTTTAAAAATGACGTACATAGCTTTGAAATTGTAAATTAAAGTACTTCATATTTTAATTGGTATCGGTATGATTTTATCAAATTAAAAAAAAAAAAACTTGTAATGCAAATCAAATTAATTTTATTAATTATTGTATTTAACCTCTATTACGATTGTTACTACATGTTGAAAATTAAACAATTGCTAAGCATTACATTACGCAATCTAAAAACCAACGAAAAAAAAGTGGTTCAATAAAACTTAATGATTTTTGCATGTATCCAGCAAATACAACCACAATGAAAAGTACAAAGAGTATTGTTCTTACGACAAGAATAACTCCTACTTTTACAATTTGTTTTGTTACAATGACAGCCATCATTTTTCTTTAAACCTTGTTTAGTTTCTTGATTGGATGTTTTATTTGTAATATTTTTAAGTGGTTTTAGTAGTCAGGTTAAGTTTTGTTGAGCACCAGCATTTTGTAAAGAAATAAATTTGCTCATCGGAATTATATTAAGTTCGGGAAATTCATCAGTATCTAAGGATTCTATTTTGTTTGCTGAAAACCATGTATCCAAAATTCCAAACTTGCTTCCAACTTGATATGAGTCACAATTTGGTTTTTTTTTGGATAACCTTACATGGTACCGATCGTCTATCCATTTTTAGCTTATCAATCTCAGGAATCCGAATCTTTACAAGATCATCAGGTTTAAAATTTAACACATGTTGTTTTAGTTTTATATTGTTTTTCTATAAAATTATAAATCATTTGACGGTTTTGAGTAACATGTTGATTTGCTGTCTTTCTTAATTGTGCATGTTGACTAAAACTTGCACGAGAATAATTTTCAAATGAAGAATTTGATGGTATAGGAGATAAATTTTCAGCTATATTATTGTTTTCAATTGGTATAAGATCTTCGTCATCTAAATCTATAGCATTATTAAAAGCCAATGAAAGCTAATAAATTATAAAATATTATACTACATTATCAGCATTTACTCTCTAACAGTTTATGAAAATATTAGATCACGTACTGCTAAACAAACTAAACAATTTTTAACTACCCTATCTAACAATCTTTTAAACTGGTTTCACAACGAAATATAGACTATACGGAATATCTCTCAACATTAATGGGAACAAGCCCGAAATATTACCTCTAAAACTAAACGGATTAAATACATTTTACCAAATACCTCCTCTACACCAAATACTTCTTCATTA